GTTTGGGGGGATTTCAAAGGAATCGTTTTGTTTTTTGAGATTCTCCCGAACAACCCAACGATCAATTCCGAAGTGTACTGTCCCCAGCTGGACAAATTGAATGATTCACTTAAACGGAAGAGACCAGCATTGATCGATAGAAAAGGTGTAGCGTTTCCCCAAGATAATGCGAGACCTCGTACAAGTTTCTTAACTCGCCAAAAGCTTCTACAGCTTGGATGAGATATCCTGCCACCCCCACCATATTCTCCAGATCTGGCATCTTCCGATTATTACTTATTCCGGTCTCTACAAAATTGTTTAGACGGTAAAACCTTTCCTTCAAACGAGGAGGTCAAAAATCACCTGGATCAGTTTTTTGACAGCAAAAACCAAACACTTTATGAGCGTGGAATCATGCTCCTGCCAGAAAGATGGCAAAAGGTATTGGACCAGAATGGACGATATATAATTCAATAAAATATTTATTCGCTATAAAAAAATCCTCTTTCATTTTCATAAAAATGAAACGAAATTACTTTCCGAACAACCCAATAGATTTAGCAAAACACGCAAAATCTTATGCATCTGGAAATCGAATTACAGATTGTATCTTTGCTTTATCTCATATACTTAAAACTTATTGAATGTAACTGCAATTATTTCTCTCCAGGTATAGGCAGTCATTCAAGAAGTCCCATCTCCATAAATCACCTAATTCGGTGCCCATAAGTAATTTGATACGTTATCAGACAAGTTCTGCACTAAATCAACTGGAGGGTGCCAATTCCTCCATTGGTGAAAAAACCTCCCCAATTCGTAAGTTAAAAGCAACGTTGGAAGCGGGAACGTTCCCTGATACAGTTCGTATCTACTGCACGGAAAACACGCCTGCAGATATTTCCCCAGAAGGTTCTCAGTCAAATCTTTCAGCCTTGTCTATGGGAAGTTCATCAAGTGACATTCGAAGCGTCGGACAGGGTGACTTATTGAAAAATGAAAGTCACCGCAACGAATTGTCTGATGACAGTTCAAATCTCTCTGGCGACGACGATATTCTTGATGAATGTATTCAGTCAGGAATGCCCAAGGTATGTCCCTAACATTTAGTATTAATTCTTAAGGTGAAGTGAAACACGTCGAGGAACTTGATCGACGTCGATAAAGAAGATTCTTCTAAATGCCTACGTTGCCGACGTTCGTTTTTATATTGGCAGCTGGGTCGAATTATATTGGGTATTGTACCAAATGGCATACTCCACCTGTCGTTTTCGTGCAATAATTATAAAGAAATTGAAGTAAAACACCAGAAATCCTCTGGATTCATGGTTTTCAATGCCGTAATTAACTGCAAAGTGCCACCCTCCGCCATCTGTGATTTTAGTTTCAGTTACAGTTTCTCTCCGAGACCTCGTATTACCATCGTTTTAGCATAGAAGCGTANAAATCCTCTGGATTCGTGCTTTCTGGGGCCCTAATTGACTGCAGAGGGACCCTCTGCGCCATCTGTGATTTCCAGGTCAATTAAATTTTTACTCCGAGACCTCGTATTCCCATCGTTTTGGCATAGAAGCGCATACAATACTTTTTTTGCCTTCATCCCGTTCAAATGCGAGTTTCTCGATTACCAGAGTGGTCTAAATTGTCGTAAAATTGTCCTGATTTTTTCGATTCTCATGTTAAAGCCTTCGATAATTGTATATTGATCGAAATATGAGAGCTCGACGCTAGACGCTATTTATCACCTTAAGGTGAAGTGAAACACGTCGAAGAACTTGATCGACGTTAATAAAGAAGACTCTTCTAAATGCCTACGTTGCCGACGTTTGTTTTTATATTGGCAGCTGTGTCGAATTATATTGGGTATTGTACCAAATGGCATACTCCACCTGTCGTTTTCGGACAATAATTATAAAGAAATCGAAGTAAAACTCCAGAAATCCTCTGGATTCGTGCTTTCTGGGGCCCTAATTGACTGCAGAGGGACCCTCTGCGCCATCTGTGATTTCCAGGTCAATTAAATTTTTACTCCGACACCTCGTATTCCCATCGTTTTAGCATAGAAACGTATACAACACTTTTTTTGCCTTTATCCCGTTGAAATGCGAGTTTATCGATTACCAGAGTGTTCTAAATTGTCGTAAAATTGTCCTGACCCTTTTGTTTCTCATATCAGAGCCTTTCTATATTTGTATATTGATCGAAATATGAGAGCTCGACGCCATTTTGGTTCTGGTGTGGGTTGAGTTAAAAAATTTCTCCCAAAAATCCAAATTTTTAATGTGTAAGGACAATTCTTAGATGATCAAAGTTTCGGACAGTTTGGTCTAATACCCTTAAAAAAAAGTGTTGTATTCGAATCGACTGATTTGAAGGATGTTTCACTTCACCTTAACGAGTTGGATTTCGCTAGTAAAGCTTAGAAAGAGATTAACTAAATGAACAGTTTTTATTATATCTGTAATTCATGCAAAGATCTATTTAGCTCGCAGTTTGTCAATTAATGGCATATTATGTTTTAGATTAGACACACGCCTCCACCTCTGTTAAATTGCATTCCTATCGTGAAGAAGACGGAAATGCTTCCTCAACTGTTTCATTTATACGGCACTCCATCTACATCTCCTGTTGACGCAACGCAGAGTGCTAAAACTACCTTAATCGAGAAAACGGGGGAATTTCGAACTATTGAAACCAGAAACGACGTTTCCGATGATAGTCCAAATCTTTCAGATGACGAAGCTATTCTCAGGGAATGTATAGAATCTGCCATGCCGAAGGTATGCTTTGTATAATTTATTATTCGCTTAGCACATTGTAAGACGTACTTATAACTTAAGGTGAAGTGAAACACGTCGAGGAACTTGATCAACGTCGACAAAGAAGATTCTTCTAAATGCCTACGTTGCCGACGTTCGTTTTTATATTGGCAGCTGGGTCGAATTATATTGGATATTGTACCAAATGGCATACTCCACCTGTCGTTTTCGTGCAATAATTATAAAGAAATTGAAGTAAAACACCAGAAATCCTCTGGATTCATGGTTTTCAATGCCGTAATTAACTGCAAAGTGCCACCCTCCGCCATCTGTGATTTTAGTTTCAGTTACAGTTTCTCTCCGAGACCTCGTATTACCATCGTTTTAGCATAGAAGCGTATACAACACTTTTTTTGCCCTTGTCCCTTTAAAATGCGAGTTTATCGATTACCANGAAAACGACAGGTGGAGTATGCCATTTGGTACAATATCCAATGTAATTCGACCCAGCTGTCGATATAAAAACGAACGTCGACCACGTAGGCATTTAGAAGAATCTTCTTTGTCGACGTTGATCAAGTTCCTCGACGTGTTTCACTCCACCTTAACTGTATCGAGAGCAGAAATTTCCAACGGATAGGCATTTGTAACTGTTAGGCTCTTATCTTCGGGTATTATTGTTGGAAACATGTTTCATAATCCTGGAAAATTATTAATTATTTGCAGGGGCGCGCACACACACCTAGTGTCTCTAAACCGTCATCCACGAAAGGAGCAGATATAATATTAGATCGATCCAGTATACACCCTTCATCCCCACTTCCTTTACGACGAATTTTGCACAATTCCTCGTCTTCAACAATTATACCAACTAGATCAGAACTTGTGGATGAGGATTCAAGTCTTTCGGAAGAGGAAGATATTATTTTAGCCCGGTGTATACGTTCTGGTATGCCGAAGGTTAGTATGAAAATGTGATATATATTAGAATTAGTAAAAACAGTGCTGTAGTTTATTTAATTATAGGTTACTACCTTTTCTGTCGAAACGTGTTTAGTAAATTGATATATAAAACAAACTTGCGCCAAATACATTCTTTTGAATTACACTTTACAAAAACAAACCTATAAATTCTGAATTAGTAAAAACAGTGCTGTAGTTTATTTAATTATAGGTTACTACCTTTTCTGTCGAAACGTGTTTAGTAAATTGATATATAAAACAAACTTGCGCCAAATACATTCTTTTGAATTACACTTTACAAAAACAAACCTATAAATTCTGAATTAGTAAAAACAGTGCTGTGGTTTATTTAATTATAGGTTACTACCTTCTCTGTCGAAACGTGTTTAGTAAATTGATATATAAAACAAGCTTGCACCAAATGCATTTTTTTAAATTACACTTTGCAAAAACAAACCTATAAATTCTGAATTAATAAAAACAGTGCTGTAGTTTATTTAATTATAGGTTACTACCTTCTCTGTCGAAACATGTTTAGTAAATTGATATATAAAACAAGCTTGCGCCAAGTACATTCTTTTGAATTACACTTTACAAAAACAAACCTATAAATTCTGAAGTGAAATTCTAGAAGAGATGAGATACAATTTACTCCCATATCAAAGGAATTAGTTGCAATTGCCAAATCCATATATTGCGTATTACTTGTAAAATAAAATAAAAGTTAAACAATATTTGACGAGCTCTATGATAATTTTGTTATACACATTACTTCATAACCACTCGTTGGTGATACTTTAATAAATATATTACGTCCTAACTGTTTATATTAAATTATACAACACTTTTTTTGCCTTTATCCCGTTCAAATGCGAGTTTATCGATTACCAGAGTGTTCAAAATTGTCGTAAAATTGTCCTGACCCTTTCAATTCTCATATCAGAGCCTTCGATAATTGTATATTGATCGAAATATGAGAGCTTGACGCCATTTTGGTTCTGGCTGAGTTAAAAAATTTGTTTAAAAAATCCAAATTTTGAATGTGTCAGGACAATTCTTAGATGATCAGGAGTGATGTGTCAAAGTTTCGGATAGTTCAATTCAATATCCTTAAAAAAAAAAGTGTCCTATTCAAATCGGTCGATTCGAATACAACACTTTTGTTTAAAGGGTATTAGACCAAACTGTTCGAAACTTTTACACATCACTCCTGATCATCTAAGAATTGTCCTGACACATTCAAAATTTGGATTTTTTAAACAAATTTTTTATCTCAGCCAGAACCAAAATGGCGTCAAGCTCTCATATTTCGATCAATATACAATTATCGAAGGCTCTGATATGAGAATTGAAAGGGTCANTATTGTGTTTTCACCGTCCTTATACGGAATACGTTTATACCAAGTTTCGTCGAAATCCCTCCATTGCTTCTATGAAAATTATTATACAAATCGAATTTTCGCCAAACTTTGGGGGTTGTTTCACCTCTTAAATGCGGACCATTGCAGATATATAAAAACACGTGTCTCTTAGATTTTTGTGTTGTTCAACATGTATGAAAATTAATAAGATCGGCGGCGGACACTTGGGAATGTTTCCTTGTTAGAATCGTGCAACATGGTTTCTGAAAATAGATATTAATAAACTCGCATTTTTATTTTCTGTTCTCAATAAGCTTTTATTCTAAGGCATGCAGAAATGAAAACACGTAAAAAATCTTACGAAGTTAACTTCATGATAAATTGAATAAAAGCTTTAACAGTTATACTTAATGACGTATGTCTTTTAAGTAAATAATGATTTCTAGTAAAATTTATTCAAACTATATTTGCCAATTTGTTGTCGAGTTATATTTAATCCTCTTCAGAATGTTAATTCGTGTTTGCAGACTCTATTGTAGAAATGTTGTTTATTATTTCCTACAAATTGATAGATTCATTTATTAGTACATTTAGCTACTTACTTTACAAAACTGACAAGAGATACTTTACGGCAACGTAAATGAATAAATTATGTTATTCTTTTTGTTTTTTGACGGCCACGTAATTCAAAATGTGTAACTCGGCGTGTAACGAGTTACTAAGATAATTGACGTAATAAAGGAAAGACTGAACTGAAAAGTAGATAGTATTGGGTTGTTCGGAAAGTAATTTCGTAGTTTCCCAACAGAGGACTTAATTTTTTTTTTTCACGGCCAACTTCACACTTAAGCCGCATAATCATTATATATTTTGATANTCTTAGATGATCAGGAGTGATGTGTCAAAGTTTCGGACAGTTTGGTCTGATACCCTTAAAAAAAAGTGTTGTATTCGAATCGACTGATTTGAAGGGGGTCTCACTTCACCATAAGAGTTCGAACTTTGATGAATGCGTTTTCTCAGCACGAATTTTTCACCATAAAATACGTGTGCTCGCGTACGCGTCCTAATTGTGATATTTTAAAATGAAGTTAAACACGTCGAGGAACTTGATCGACGTCGATAAAGATTTTTCTAAATGCCTACGTTGCCGCCGTTCGTTTTTATATCGACAGCTGTGTCGCATTATTTTGAGTATTGTACTAAATGGCATACTCCACCTGTCGTTTTCGTACAATAATTATAAAGAAATCAAAGTAAAACTCCAGAAATCCTCTGGATTCATGCTTTCTGGGGCTCTAATTGACTGCAGAGGGACCCCCTGCGCCATCTGTGATTTCCAGGTCAATTAAATTTTCACTCCGAGACCTCGTATTACCATCGTTTTGGCATAGAAGCGTATACAACACTTTTTTTGCCTTTCTCCCGTTCAAATGCGAGTTTATCGATTACCAGAGTGTTCTAAATTGTCGTAAAATTGTCCTGACCCTTTCGATTCTCATATCAGAGCCTTCGATAATTGTATATTGATCGAAATATGAGAGCTCGACGCCATTTTGTTTCTGGTCTGGACTGTTAACAATTTTTTTTTTTAAATCCAAGTTTTTAACGTGTCAGGACTATTCTTAGATGATCAGGAGTAATGTGTCAGAGTTTCGGACAGTTTGGTCTAATACCCTTAAAAAAAAGTGTTGTATTCGAATCGGCTGATTTGAAGGATGTTTCACTTCACCTTAAGTCGTCGATAGAATCCAATAACTCAAGGTCCAAATAAATATTTTTGGTTACGCTTAATTAGTACTAACAGCAGTAAATCTATTCATTAAATTCAGTACTGTCTTTTTTCAGGCATTGAATGTCCCCTCTCCGATGCTCTCGTCACAGGTCTCAAGAAAATCTGAATTCCACCTTCAGAGGTCAAATTCACTTGGATCTGCAGGATTACTTATACAAAATAAAACTCACTCGAGCGATCCAGAAACTCTACAAAAGCAATTGCTTCTGTCGCCCAGAAGAATGAAAGCGTCCTGTCCTGCAACGCATGGCATAGAATCAAATTTTTCATTACTTTCTGACAATAGTTCATCCAGAAACATAATGAATAACATGGTGGATCTAAACTCACCCATAGAACAGTTTCATGCCCACCGATTGGGCAGAAGCGATAAAACTCCAGGTATTTCAAACGAAAAATCTGCAGAGTGTCCTAACATTCGTGATCTTACTTCGGATGGTTATTCAACTGAAGGTCCTACGTAGGTTTATGTAATGTACTTCTTTTCCACTTTGAATATTGTCTTATGACACGTGCAATGTGATGAGCGGAATGGATCACTAGTCTGTTAAGTGCTCTCATAACAGGAATCATCAATAATTCATGTTTGCCAGAATTACTTGTACTTTTAAATACAGCTTCGCACATAATATGTGATTAATGTGTTTCTGCATTATCCAGAATGCTTGTCTCGTACTTAAGGTCAAGTGAAACACCCTGCAAATCAGTCGATTCGAATACAACACTTTTTTTAAGGGGTATTAGACCAAACTGTCCGAAACTTTGACACATCACTCCTGATCATCTAAGAATTGTCCTGACACGCTCAAAATTTGGATATTTCAAAAAAATTTGTTAACTTAGCCCAGACCAGAAACAAAATGGCGTCGAGCTGTTAAATGCTCTCATAACAGGAATCATCAATAATTCATGTTTGCCAGAATTACTTGTACTTTTAAATACAGCTTCACACGTAATTTGTGATTAATGTTTCTGTATCATCCAGAATGTTTGTCTCGTACTTAAGGTGAAGTGAAACGCCCTTCAAATCAGTCGATTCGAATACAACACTTTTTTTAAGGGGCATTAGACCAAACTGTGCGAAATTTTAACACATCACTCCTGATCATCTAAGAATTGTCCTGACGCGCTCAAAATTTGGATATTTCAAAAAAACTTTTTAACAGCCCAGACCAGAAACAAAATGGCGTCGAGCTATCATATTTCGATCGATATACAATTATAGAAAGACTCTGATATGATAATCGAAAGGGTCAGGACAATTTTACGATAATTTAGAACACTCTGGTTATCGAGAAACTCGCATTTCAACGGGATAAAGGCAAAAAAAGTGTTGTATGCGCTTCTATGCTAAAACGATGGTAGTACGAGGTCTCGGAGTGCACATTTAATTGACCTGGAAATCACAGATGGCGCAGGGGGTCCCTCTGCAGCCAATCAGGGCCTCTTAAACCATGAGCCCTGCATATTTCTGGTGTTTTACTTCGATTTCTTTTTATTTATTATTAATATTTCTTTATAAGCACGAATCCAGAGGATTTCTGGAGCTTTACTTCGATTTCTTTATAATTATTGTACGAAAACGACAGGGGGAGTATGCCATTTGGTACAATATCCAATATAATTCGACCCAGCTGTCGATATAAAAACAAACGTCGGCAACGTAGGCATTTAGAAAATCTTCTTTATCAACGTCGATCAAGTTCCTCGACGCATTTCACTTCACCTTAAAAGAAACAAATTGACACAACGACAAGCTTGCTATATAATTTAGATAGAGTTTGTAGTTCAAAAATTGAGATAAATATCTGCTAACCGTAATTCAAAGAAGAGGTTTGCTGTAATCCTTGAAGAAGAGTAATGGAAATTCATTTTGGTTAGTAGTAGTGGTTTGAAATTGGCGTTCATTCAGTACCGATGAAATCATCTCTAACTTGTTCTTTCTATTTTCAATCGAGGGAAAGAGAAAAGTATTTATTGCGATGGGGTATCAGTTTTGCTGATTATTCTATGACCGCTGAGGAGTGAACGACTCCGAATCTCATGCAAAGTGCTGACCATTTATTTTGGTCAACATATTCCGCAAAAGCTTTTTGACATTGTCAACAGTGTGCGAACCTGAAGGATATTAGGTTCTCATTGGGCATTTGTGCTTGTGCAATCCTAGATTTCCTGGACCTATATTTCCGTTGCAAATGGGGAAAGATAAAATGTTACTAAAACGTAACACTCCCATGCTACTATAACCTGAAATGTTCTTTGAAGAAGAATGGTTTCTTATATTATAATTACTAATCTCCTTAAATTAAATCTTACAGGACTATTACCAAATATACAAGTGAAAGTTACACGTAAATCCTTTGAAGGATAAAATTCATTGCCACTTCATCGAGACAGAATATTAGGAAGTTCGATATTTCTTCACTAGCTGGTTTCTTTTTCAGAAGCGGTGCTGATTATATCTGTAGAACTTGAGGCTGTTGGAATTGGTTGTAATAAGAGCTTCCATGCGTTGCCCTTTTTATTCTCTGTTGCGATCTTGCCGTGTTCCTTAACTCCAGATTTAATGGTTTGCAATATCTTGTTCTGTACAACATTAGATACAGAAATAAATTAGTAATTCCCAAACATGAAGCGATAGGCAACGATGATAATACAATTAACTGCTACTGACTACAACTATAACTAAGCAAAATCTTTTTCAAATGTAATCGTTGGTGCTTATTACATCAGCTTTAACTTTCTATCAGGCATTCACAACTAAATCGAAAATAAAACTGATCTGTAAATGTCCTTGTTTAATTCAACAGAAGTTGACTCGAGCCTTCTGGAAGAAAGTTCTTGTGAATAATTATTATTAAGACAAAAAGTAATACAAATTTAAATAATGATGGAAGGTAAAAAATAAAAAGAAAAAAACTATATACAAAGTAAGTTAAGGTGAAGTGAAACATCCTTCAAACCAGTCGATTCGAATACAACACTTTTTTTTAAGGGTATTCGACCAAACTGTCCGAAACTTTGATCATCTAAGAATTGTCCTGGCACAAAAAAAGATATAACATCGGATTATACTTAAACCATTTTGATAAAAATAATTTGCATATGATACAAATATTTCAACTTCCACATCATAATCAGAAATATTAATTTCAAAAGTTATACATGTTCAACTTTAATTTCTGTTAATTTATAATCTACTTTCAGCTCTCTTTTGAATTATATATTAAAGTACATATCAAATCTTTTTTTTCTTAACACATTGGTCGCCACGTCACCCATATATGGGTGACGCCGTGTGTAAACATGAATCGTAGCCGAAATGTGGGCGACCGATGTGTTAATTACCCTTCTACGTTACTTTAATATACAATATAAGAAAAATAGGAAAAAACTTGCCGTAACATCCTCCTTCCCTTGAGAAATGATCAAGACACTTACTTCTTGATTCTTAGTTAACATTTTATTTATATTTTTGATCTTTATACCCAAATCGTGATCTGCAATATTACTTGATATAGAAATTAACTTGACGGAGTGGCGGGAGTATTTTTTCTCCGAAGGAATTTCCTTCAACGATTGCTTAACATCTTCTTGAAAATACTCTTTTTCTGACATAAGCTTATACAATGGTCTTTGCTCCTTCTCGTCATAATCCAATAATTTCATTAATTTCACATCGCGACGCTTGGCCACTTTTTCTGCCTCGTCCAACCACATTACATCCTTACTACCATCGGTCATAATAAGGGTAATTTTCAGCCGTGGTCTAATAATTTTCTTTTGAGCTTTCGGTACCGTTGGTTCCTCAAGACCTATTATCCCATTTAGTACAGGTGCGGTGAACAAGCTCTCACTTTGTATAAAGTTTTTCCTGCATATTTTATTGAAAACCGTCTTGTTTCTATTTATGAGAGTAGCCAAATTCTGTAAACTTTCCACACAATGACAGAGCCTTGCAATCCTTGCATTTACGTACATTGCCATCTCTTAAAATAATGCTTTCAGATTTAAAATTCAATTGAATCACATAAGAACCAGAATGATAATAACAAAGAGGTCAGACCTGTTTTACTAATAACGTTTTTAACTAAGCAACTGAGATGCACTTGTGTACAGGGGGTCGACACTGCCATGTATTGGGGTGTAACGCTTTATGCACTACCGCCATCTTCGGTTGGAGTAAACCTTCTTCGCGAACTAAAATATTTGGCGGGCTATTCGAATTCATTTATTAAACGAAGGGATATTTTCGGGATTTAAAAAGTACTTGCAATGATCAAAACAGACGTTGCTTAAACTGACACACAAATGTAAGAAAACGGTATATTAAACATAAAAGAAGTAACAAAAGTGTCAGTGGCGCAACGCCTGTTTTAAATCACTGTAAGAACTGAAATAATTACATTAAACATTAGTTAAAAAGTAACATATTTATTAAGATAAAAATATTAATTATTATGAATGTATAAATATACAAATTCTATACAAATTTAATTTTTGTTATGATTATGATACACAGTAATATTAGGACAGTAACATAATGTAAGATGAGAGTAACAAAGTTGCGCTACATTTATATAGATACGATAGTAACAAATGTCATGTAACTGTTAGGTTATTACCTTGTAACAAATGTTACGTTATTTTTTAACTTAAAGCATGTTACTGTTATGCTACATGTTAGCTTCGAAAACGTAACATTTACCCAACAGTTATATAACAGTGTTCACTAGGAAGATATCGCAATCAAATTCGACGTTTTCAATTATTTTTCAAGATGATATGAATTTAACCCTCTAATGTTTTGCTGATTTGTGTACAAAATAGGTTGAACGAAGAGGTTGTCGGATTGGATTTAATATTTGCATATTAATATCAGGGCTTGTGAATGCATATTTCTGGTGTTTTACTTCGATTTCTTTTTATTTATTATTAATATTTCTTTATAAGCACGAATCCAGAGGATTTCTGGAGCTTTACTTCGATTTCTTTATAATTATTGTACGAAAACGACAGGGGGAGTATGCCATTTGGTACAATATCCAATATAATTCGACCCAGCTGTCGATATAAAAACAAACGTCGGCAACGTAGGCATTTAGAAAATCTTCTTTATCAACGTCGATCAAGTTCCTCGACGCATTTCACTTCACCTTAAAAGAAACAAATTGACACAACGACAAGCTTGCTATATAATTTAGATAGAGTTTGTAGTTCAAAAATTGAGATAAATATCTGCTAACCGTAATTCAAAGAAGAGGTTTGCTGTAATCCTTGAAGAAGAGTAATGGAAATTCATTTTGGTTAGTAGTAGTGGTTTGAAATTGGCGTTCATTCAGTACCGATGAAATCATCTCTAACTTGTTCTTTCTATTTTCAATCGAGGGAAAGAGAAAAGTATTTATTGCGATGGGGTATCAGTTTTGCTGATTATTCTATGACCGCTGAGGAGTGAACGACTCCGAATCTCATGCAAAGTGCTGACCATTTATTTTGGTCAACATATTCCGCAAAAGCTTTTTGACATTGTCAACAGTGTGCGAACCTGAAGGATATTAGGTTCTCATTGGGCATTTGTGCTTGTGCAATCCTAGATTTCCTGGACCTATATTTCCGTTGCAAATGGGGAAAGATAAAATGTTACTAAAACGTAACACTCCCATGCTACTATAACCTGAAATGTTCTTTGAAGAAGAATGGTTTCTTATATTATAATTACTAATCTCCTTAAATTAAATCTTACAGGACTATTACCAAATATACAAGTGAAAGTTACACGTAAATCCTTTGAAGGATAAAATTCATTGCCACTTCATCGAGACAGAATATTAGGAAGTTCGATATTTCTTCACTAGCTGGTTTCTTTTTCAGAAGCGGTGCTGATTATATCTGTAGAACTTGAGGCTGTTGGAATTGGTTGTAATAAGAGCTTCCATGCGTTGCCCTTTTTATTCTCTGTTGCGATCTTGCCGTGTTCCTTAACTCCAGATTTAATGGTTTGCAATATCTTGTTCTGTACAACATTAGATACAGAAATAAATTAGTAATTCCCAAACATGAAGCGATAGGCAACGATGATAATACAATTAACTGCTACTGACTACAACTATAACTAAGCAAAATCTTTTTCAAATGTAATCGTTGGTGCTTATTACATCAGCTTTAACTTTCTATCAGGCATTCACAACTAAATCGAAAATAAAACTGATCTGTAAATGTCCTTGTTTAATTCAACAGAAGTTGACTCGAGCCTTCTGGAAGAAAGTTCTTGTGAATAATTATTATTAAGACAAAAAGTAATACAAATTTAAATAATGATGGAAGGTAAAAAATAAAAAGAAAAAAACTATATACAAAGTAAGTTAAGGTGAAGTGAAACATCCTTCAAACCAGTCGATTCGAATACAACACTTTTTTTTAAGGGTATTCGACCAAACTGTCCGAAACTTTGATCATCTAAGAATTGTCCTGGCACAAAAAAAGATATAACATCGGATTATACTTAAACCATTTTGATAAAAATAATTTGCATATGATACAAATATTTCAACTTCCACATCATAATCAGAAATATTAATTTCAAAAGTTATACATGTTCAACTTTAATTTCTGTTAATTTATAATCTACTTTCAGCTCTCTTTTGAATTATATATTAAAGTACATATCAAATCTTTTTTTTCTTAACACATTGGTCGCCACGTCACCCATATATGGGTGACGCCGTGTGTAAACATGAATCGTAGCCGAAATGTGGGCGACCGATGTGTTAATTACCCTTCTACGTTACTTTAATATACAATATAAGAAAAATAGGAAAAAACTTGCCGTAACATCCTCCTTCCCTTGAGAAATGATCAAGACACTTACTTCTTGATTCTTAGTTAACATTTTATTTATATTTTTGATCTTTATACCCAAATCGTGATCTGCAATATTACTTGATATAGAAATTAACTTGACGGAGTGGCGGGAGTATTTTTTCTCCGAAGGAATTTCCTTCAACGATTGCTTAACATCTTCTTGAAAATACTCTTTTTCTGACATAAGCTTATACAATGGTCTTTGCTCCTTCTCGTCATAATCCAATAATTTCATTAATTTCACATCGCGACGCTTGGCCACTTTTTCTGCCTCGTCCAACCACATTACATCCTTACTACCATCGGTCATAATAAGGGTAATTTTCAGCCGTGGTCTAATAATTTTCTTTTGAGCTTTCGGTACCGTTGGTTCCTCAAGACCTATTATCCCATTTAGTACAGGTGCGGTGAACAAGCTCTCACTTTGTATAAAGTTTTTCCTGCATATTTTATTGAAAACCGTCTTGTTTCTATTTATGAGAGTAGCCAAATTCTGTAAACTTTCCACACAATGACAGAGCCTTGCAATCCTTGCATTTACGTACATTGCCATCTCTTAAAATAATGCTTTCAGATTTAAAATTCAATTGAATCACATAAGAACCAGAATGATAATAACAAAGAGGTCAGACCTGTTTTACTAATAACGTTTTTAACTAAGCAACTGAGATGCACTTGTGTACAGGGGGTCGACACTGCCATGTATTGGGGTGTAACGCTTTATGCACTACCGCCATCTTCGGTTGGAGTAAACCTTCTTCGCGAACTAAAATATTTGGCGGGCTATTCGAATTCATTTATTAAACGAAGGGATATTTTCGGGATTTAAAAAGTACTTGCAATGATCAAAACAGACGTTGCTTAAACTGACACACAAATGTAAGAAAACGGTATATTAAACATAAAAGAAGTAATGTCAGTGGCGCAACGCCTGTTTTAAATCACTGTAAGAACTGAAATAATTACATTAAACATTAGTTAAAAAGTAACATATTTATTAAGATAAAAATATTAATTATTATGAATGTATAAATATACAAATTCTATACAAATTTAATTTTTGTTATGATTATGATACACAGTAATATTAGGACAGTAACATAATGTAAGATGAGAGTAACAAAGTTGCGCTACATTTATATAGATACGATAGTAACAAATGTCATGTAACTGTTAGGTTATTACCTTGTAACAAATGTTACGTTATTTTTTAACTTAAAGCATGTTACTGTTATGCTACATGTTAGCTTCGAAAACGTAACATTTACCCAACAGTTATATAACAGTGTTCACTAGGAAGATATCGCAATCAAATTCGACGTTTTCAATTATTTTTCAAGATGATATGAATTTAACCCTCTAATGTTTTGCTGATTTGTGTACAAAATAGGTTGAACGAAGAGGTTGTCGGATTGGATTTAATATTTGCATATTAATATCAGGGCTTGTGAAATTATTGATAAATTAATATACGTCATTAAAATGGATGCGAAGGAAGCAGAAAAATTCATAAGGTTTGCTCTGTGATAAGCTTCAAATAATTCATTTCAATAACTAAAATTGGATCTTAGGTCACAGAGTGTGATGCAAAAATTCGAGGAATTCTTCGGGCGGAAAAATATCGAAGAGCAATGCACTGATGAATCTCTAAGAAATCTACACGAAGCCTTCCTAGTAAACGTTTTACGCTTCGATACAAAATATTTAATAGAAATCATACAATGTACATTTCGGAAAACATATTGCATATTAATGAGAAGAAAACTACATGTTTAAGGTGAAGTGAAACCCCTTTCAAATCAGTCGATTTGAATACAACAGCTTTTTTTAAGGGTATTAAATCAAACTTTCCGAAACTTTGACACATCACTCCTGATCATCTAAGAATTGTCCTGACACATTCAAAATTTGGATTTTTTTTTAAATTGTTTAATTCTATTATATAATTCTATTCTGATATATAATAATAACATTTATTTTAAGGGTATTAGATCAAACTGTCCGAAACTTTGACACATCACACCTGATCATCTAAGAATTGTCCTGACACATTCAAAATTTGGATTTTTTAAAAAAATTGTTTCATTCTATCATATAATTCTGTTCTGATATAATAACATTTTTTTAAAGGGTATTAGATCAAACTGTCCGAAACTTTGACACATCACTCCTGATCATCTAAGAATTGTCCTGACACGTTCAAAATTTGCATTTTTGGAAAAAATTGTTTAACATAACCCAGACCAGAACCAGAATGGCGTCGAGCTCTCATATTTCGATTAATATACAATTATCGAAGGCTCTGATATGAGAATCGAAAGGGTCAGGACGATTTTACGACAATTTAGAACACTCTGGTAGTCGATAAACTCGCATTTGAACGGGATAAAGGCAAAAAAAGTGTTGTATGCGCTTCTATGCCAAAGCGATGGTAATACGAGGTCTCGGAGGGAAAATTTAATTGAGCTGGAAATCACAGATGGCGCAGGAGGTCCCTCTGCAGTCAATTAGGGCCCCAGAAAGCACGAATCCAGAGGATTTCTGGAGTTTTACTTCGATTTCTTTATAATTATTGTACGAAAATGACAGGTGGATTATGCCATTCGGTACAATACCCAATATAATTCGACGCAGGTGTCGATATAAAATCCAACATCCGCAACGTAGGTATTTAGAAAAATATTCTTTATGGACGTCGATCAAGTTCCTCGACGTGTTTCACTTCACCTTAAGCGCATGATCTTTAATTTTTGGTCTGGTCGGCTCTGGCCTTTAAATAGGAAGGGTATGGAAATTAATACCAATACGAATAAGTTGGTGTTTTTAAAGTTTTATAATATTCATTTATAATAGGAGTACCACACACACACATATTATAATGTCGAAGAACAAGTACGGAATAGAATTACGATGAAATATATATTTTCACGCATTCAGTCAACCATAACAGATGGTGTATCAGTATAAGGGACGTATGATTACATTAAGGTGAAGTGAAACCCCCCTAAAATCAGTCGATTAGAATACAACACTTTTTTTTAATGGTATTAGACCAAACTGTCCGAAACTTTGACACATGACTCCTGATCATCTAAGAATTGTCCTGACACGTTCAAAATTAAGATTTTTTGAAAAAAGTTTTTTAACTCGCCCTAGGCCAGGACCAAAATGGCGTCGAGCTCACATATTTCGATCAATATACAATTATCGAAGGCTCTGATATGACAATCGAAAGAGTCAGGACAATTTCACGACAATTTAAAACACTCTGGTAGTCGATAAACTCGCATTTGAACGGGATAAAGGCAAAAAAAGTGTTGTATGCGCTTCTATGCTAAAACGATGGTAATACGAGGTCTCGGAGTGAAAATTTAATTGACTTGGAAATCACAGATGGCGCAGGGGGTCTCTCTGCAGTCAATTAGGACCTCAGAAAGCATGAATCCAGAGGATTTCTGGAGTTTTACTTCGATTTCTTTATAATTATTGTACGAAAACGACAGGTGGAGTATGCCATTCGGTACAATACCCAATATAATTCGACACAGGTGTCGATATAAAATCCAACATCCGCAACGTAGGCATTTAGAAAAATATTCTTTATGAACATCGATCAAGTTCCTCGACGTGTTTCACTTCACCTTAAGAGTCTAATGAATATTTTGAAAAATTCAACACATACAATGCACATTTATAAAGCATTTAAAAAAAGTGAAGCCTGAGGGAATAATATTTATTCATATTATGATTTACTTTCCATAGGAAGCTGAACACAAGGTGATGAATGAAAACGAATTGCAAAGGGCATTCGAAGACATATTGCATATCTACATGGAAGACGAAGAGTTTCACATTCTTTTCATAAAAGTGAATCATTTTGCGTAGACAAAGAAATGAAAGGCTTTTTTATAATGTTGGGCTCTTCTTAAAGATCAACGCCAAGAGAGATGGTTTGGTGACGTGGGACGAATTTATTTCGCATCTGTTGTTGGAATTTCAAGAAAAGGATGTGGCTCTTCAATATCAGACTCTGAAACCTCCTCTATTTGGTTTTCCCGAAGTGAAGAAGACCCTTCACCGTTGCCCGATCATTCGGGTGACTTTTTGCCCCGAAGTTCTTCCCGTAATTCAGAAATCATTTAACAATTTCACTTTACCCTTTATTTAACAATTTCACTTTACCCTTTATTTAACAATTTCACTTTACCCTTAATTTAACAATTTCTTCTACTTCCCTTCTAACTTTCCATGATATTTAAATCGAGTCATGATTGCGTCGCGACAAACTTCGACGAATCAAGAACTAAGCCGCCCAGTGCACACATTGATTAACTCCATAAAACAAAAAGTTGAGAAATGCGATGAAGTAACGTAGATTATTTTTTAAAATTCCTATTATAATATAACTTCAAATATATAACGTAGAATACATAAATACAGTTATAGTTTTCATCTAACGGTATATAAAATTAATAAGAAAGAATAGCCAAAAAATAATCGTCTGCATTTTATATCGACAAATGTTTTTGCAGGTATTAAATTTCCTCCCCTATTCCTGTATGCCAAACCTTTTGTTCCATTATGCTTTTGTAAATTTCGTGCCCATTTATCAGGATTACGACTTCTTTTCCTC